TTTTGTCGATACTCAATGTTTTTGATGCTGCAGTCCCTAGTTCGGTCGAGTCTTGATCCAAGCAGGTGATATCTCCGGTTTGATTATGCAAGCGACAGAGCGTCACGAATTCGCCGGCGATCGCCGCCGCCGGAACCCGAGCACCGTTCTAGCAAGCAACCCCTTCCATCTCCCTCCGCTAGAACGGCGGAGAAAAACGGTTGGCCGCCATCTTGAATCCTACCCTATGTCCTGGTCCGGGGCAACAAGCCCCGCGAGCAGTCCTTCGTGGGCGGAATCGAATACGATGCGCGACGACGTTATTGCCCACATGGTCTTCGTCGTCGCGCTCAAGAACGCGACGTATCGCATCGGTTTGGTGCCAGTCAAATCCTTGCGCCCCTCTTGGCGCCGTCGCTGCTGCCGCCGTCGAAGAAGAAGTCGACGTCGCGTCGTCAACGAGGAGGGGGAGGGCATTTGAAGTGCCACAGCCCAGACGCGGCGATAGACACGTGGCATTTTTTCTGAATAATGTGTACTCAACCTGGTTTATACTCACCGTGTGGTTTGCTAGCTGAAGAGCCTGCAGGGACAATTTTTCATAGTTGGGTGATTTTTTAAATAGGGTACATGGGAGCATAATCCAATTTATACTAGCATAAATCGATTAATACTGAATTATACTGAATCGTACTGAATCATACTGAATTATACTGAATTATACTGAATTATACTGAATCATACTGATTTATACAGAATCATACTTGAATTATGCTTATACTTGAGTTATGCTTATACTTGAGTTATGCTTGAATTATACTTGAATTATGCTTGAAATATTCGTTTCATTGGAAATCCTTCTAGAAACAGCCAGTAGAACAATCTTCGCTCTGGTACTGATCAGTTTCGATAGAAGTCTTTCTTCTTGGCTTGTCTCAGTTTGCCAACTCTGTCGAGAAAGGAGTCTGTCACATCGGGCCGATGAAACTCAACATTTATTGTTTGGCAGTTCAATCTATTTTGCACCCTGACTGGGCCTGTTTTGTATGCGCGATAGAGCATGTCATCCGACCATTCCATTCCCGCCGCATGGGAGAGTCGCGTCACGATTTCCCTCGCTCCGACTTCGGGCTCCGTGGGCATCTCGATGATCTCAACCTGGTTCCTCATGCAGAAACTCTCCAGTGAGCTGATGCGAGACTTAAGTTTCCTGTTCAGTTTTCACAGTCGATAGTCCCTGATGGAATACCTGGAGGTTCTGTTCCACGTGTTGCATGATTTGTTGGGCTCTCCTCTCCATGATCTTTTCCATGGTTTTCTCCATGATGTCTTCGATCTGATCGATCTGGGTGAAGGACATCTCTGCCGGAAAACTGGTCCACTCGAACTATCACAGTCGGTCAAATCTGAACTTCCAGCGGATCGGTCGAAAAAGCACTTGTTTACATCCGGATGGATGAACGCATTCTGATCTCTGGAATAGGTCTATTTCCCACCGCTTATCCGATGCACCGAGCAAGTTCCTCTCTGTATGAGCACCTTTCACCGAGTCTCTTCTCTTCTTTCACCAGAAAACAACTTCTATCATCGACCCCCTTTTTTTTAATTTCTTTATTAAAGAAGGCTTTAATATTTCTTTATATTTTTATATTAAAAATTATAAAGAAGAGAAAAATGACAGGGACGGGAAAATAGCAGAAATTCAGGGAAAGTGAGCGGGAAAAGGTATCGAGAAATGATTGGAATGTGTGAGACGGCGGGGGATGAGAACGGGAAAAGAGGAGGCAAACGCTTACGATATCATGAGAAACGGGAGCAGAGGGGGGGATTAAAAAGTGGATAGAAAATTGGAGAGATATGGGAAATGAGAAAAGGGTGTAACGGGAGGATGGGGACATCTGAGAGTAGACGAGTAGCGGGGCAAATACGCGAAGGGACGGGGAAAACAAGGGAAAAGTAAGAAATGATAGAAACGGACGAAGTGTGGGGGATTACAGAGTGACTCGGAAAAGAAGCACACGACAGAGGGGAGAGGAGGGGAAGTGGAAAGAAGAGGGACTGAGCAGACAATTGGGAGAATTGAGGAGATCCGGGAGGAGAATAGAAACGAGGAAATGAGAGTGATGGGAGCCAAGGCTGAGAGCAGCGGAGAAACGGGAAAAATCGGGGTAGTGGAGAAAAGGGGAAAGCCGGGGGAAACAAGGGAAACGAGGAGGAGAAAGAAAATGGGGAAATATCTGATCCAGGCGGAGAGAGGGGAGACACGAAGGTGAGAATAATGTGAAAGAAGGAGAGATCGAAGTATAAGGACGGGGAACGGGAAGACGAGAGGATCGGGGGGTGGCAAATAGACGGTTGAGCGAGGAAAGTAAGGAGGAGCAGGGGAGGACACAGGGAAGTGGGGGAAGATGTGAAAAAGTCAAGGGTTAGTGAAGGAAGAGAACCAATTCTGAAGAGCAAACGAGAGGGAGCCTGAAGGGCGACCGGGAGACGAATAGAAGAGGGAATGTGTGGAGCAGCAGGAAAAAAACAGAAATCGTGACCGCGAAATTCGGCACGGGTAAATATCAGAGGTTCTGGAGCAGAGAGAAGAAACTCGGATACTAAGGGACAAGAATCGAGGAAGAGGAAAGTCTACTGAAGCGAAGAGACGAGCTGGGAATGGCCAGGTCTCGATAACGCCACTGATTTGTAGATTTTGTTCGTCACGATCTTAGAATAATTATTCATATAGATACAATGTAAGCCGCAGCGCAGCGCGGCTGAAATCTTGACTGATTTCTTGGGAGGCGGAAATGAGAGATCCTCTTTGATCAGGAATTAGCTGTGGCTGGAGGAGCACTCGCTGAGGTATTGGGGCAGAATTCTAGGTTTATGTAGGATCAGGGAAAGAATGAGTCCTGCACCTGGCGTGCGATTATGCCAACTCGCGGAACATGGAGGTGTTGGGGGAGAACTCTAGGCTCATACAAATCTTGGTTTGCCACGAACGCCCATCCCGACGATAAGTTCATTGCATACAATATCTACTCGCAGTAAAAACAGGGAAAATCGTTTTCACTATGAGATGATGTGATAACTCCGCTTCGAAAAAGCATCAAGATCGAGGATACCCGCGAGGAGCGATGATGATGGAGAAGATATAAGGAATCAGGAATCGAGGCCAATCTTCTCTCAAATTGAGCAAACCCTCTGATGTGAGCCACTACAGAAATTCTTTCGCAAAATAATCATTCGGGATCAAATCTGGAGCAGGGAATCTTGACAGAGCGATGACGTCATCGCTACGATGACATCATACAGGAATAAGCACTGGGAAAAAGGTTATTTTCCTGACGTATCTGAGGTCAGGCGTGGATAAAAGTATTAACTTGCACTCTGCGAGGTCTTTCCGCGACCATCTCATTCGGAGCGACCCGAAATGAACAACCCGAAACACTCGAAAAACGGCGAACTGACGAACGGACATAGCGATTTTATATTATAGGGAGGATGTCCCTCCCGTCTCATCGAGCTATGGGAAACTTTCAATTATTGATCAAAGATTTAGATTCTCGTAAATGAGCCCAAGTTTCCTTCGTCAATTGTCAATTTTTTTCCCCAAACTCAGGTTAACAGATGATCTGTCTTCTTGAAAATCTTCCCAGAGTTCCTCATTTCTGTCCTGTGGGGGTTCCCACCTGAAGTCTATGGGCTCATCAGAGGCATCCGGTGAGGTCAGCTCTCTCGGAGGCGGGAGTTGGATCCCGCGGATGTCGTATGAGTCGATCAAACCTTCGAAATTGATGCCTGAAAACCATCGATGTCTTTTTAGCTCTTCGGCACCCTCCCGGCGAGCGCCCAGTCTGCGTACGGGATCCTTATTGAGCAATCCTTCCAGCATCTCTCGCGCCGCTCTACTGAATGTATTCAAACCCTCGGGGTCTTTTTCAGCAGTGAGCCTCGGAATTAGGTCTCTTCTTGTGCCGCGGGGGTGGAAAGGAGTCAACCCCTTGGCAGACATTAGCTCAAACATCGTGATTCCAAAAGCTCACCAGTCGACTGCACCAGTCTGTGGTTCTCCCGTGAAGACTTCTGGTGCCATATATTTGAGAGTGCCTGATATATCCCTTGGCCTATCGGATGCCATTCCGAAATCGGATAGCTTCAGAAGTCCTCTTTCGAAGACGAGGATATTATTTGGTTTCAAGTCGCGCCAAATGACATTGCACGCGTGAATAAACTCGAGGCCCATCACAATTTGGCAGAGGAGTAGCTCGACTGTCTCCTCGGAATGTGGGATCCTCCCGATCTGGTAGAGATTACCGTTTGGCGCATAATCCATGACGAGGTAACAAAAATAGTGAGTTTTCCAAGACCAGTGGAGTTTCACGACAAAGGAGCTCACGCTCAGAGCGAAAAGAATTTTTTTCTCTCTGATGGCGCCAGTAGGATCTTCTCTCTTTCCCTGTCGTTTGATCGCATAAAATCTTTCCACGGTCTGCCCCCCCTCATCTTTACTCAGCCATTTGCCTTTGTACACAGTCCCGTAAGTGCCGCTTGCGATCTCTGTCAAGTCTAAAAAGCCGACAACGGTCTGCTTTGGGCACTCATTCCTCTCGTATCGCTCTGCGAAAGTGGCTTCTGCCGATTCAAGGTCTCGGGAATAATTCTCGACGATGCTGGCCGTCCTCCTTCGTGTACGCATTACCATCGTTTTCTTATCCAATCAACATTCCACTCGCTTCGATTCCAGCTTTATATCAGCGGCGGATCCAGGGGGGTAGGGTGGTCGGGCGATCGCCCCCTACTCGAGACATTTCGCCCGGGCGACGGACTCTAAGTTCACCGGGGGGTTTCCCTCTGTGACTGAGTGCCGAGACAGGGAGAAAGAGGGATCGTCGGCTTCGGGGATCCTATCCTATCCTACTATCCTACTACATATAAAGAAGCTATTTAGGCGGGAAACTTTGTCCGTTCCTTAAAAGTGTCATTCCCGAATCAAAATCAATGCTAAGAGCTCTGAGATGTCGCGTCGTCATCCGAAGATGTGCAAGTATGCGGAGCGCCCCATTTGGCCGCGACCGTTTGGCCGCGAGACGTTTGGCCGCGAGACGTTTGGCCGCGACCGTTTGGCCGCGGGACCGTTTGGCCGCGGGACCGTTTGGCCGCGGAACCGTTTAGCCGCGGTCTGGATTGGGTGGAATAACCCGCAGAGATTTTCAAGACGTTTCCCCCCAAAAAACAGGAGCGGTGATATGATGCGGAAGGTAGCGCTCATGTGACGTTTGACATGCATGAAACCCTGGTGGCAGAGCTTGTCTTTCCCGCGGGAAGACTTAACGATTGTCGGGCACTCAGACATGCTGCTTCTGGAGGATTCCTAGCTCATGACTTCGGTTCAAATGATTGGATGTTGCTGAACTTTGCGTGTTTTTGTTGATGCCGTCAATTGTCGCATGCACGCTTGCCAAAGGAGCTGGGGACGTTCCACTTGTTGAGAACCTCAGCTGCCGAGACCAGGATTGAGGTTGCTGAAAATCGAAACGCTTGGATACTCGACTCGGGTCTTCTCTGGTATGCCATGTATAGAGACGAGCTGAATACCCATACGTTCAGGGAGATACATCCGTATTCTGCATCCCGACCTTGAAGCCGTATTCCTCGTTGTGACAAACCCTGAAGCCTTCCCTCATAGATCTTTCGCACAAGATTCCTGAGAGCCGTCCCTTCCGGTCGCTCATTTTCTCAAGCCGTCCCACGGCGGCCAAACGGTCCTGCGGCCAAACGGTACCGCGACCAAACGGTCTGCGGCCAAACAGTCTCGCGTCCAAACGTCTCGCGGCCAAACGGTCCCGCGACCAAACGGTCCCGCGGCCAAAGGGTCGCGGCCAAATGTCCCGCGGCCAAACGGTCGCGGCCGAATGGGGTGTACCGGCAAGTATGCTTCAGAATTTCAATCGGATGCGCCAGCGTCCCAGGAATCCCCGAAAACCTCTACATCGTTTTCAGGAGTTTCCCAACACAACACACACAATAAAAATCTCTGGTGACTACCCGTATGACCGAATCCTTATGACCGAATCCGCTTGGCCGAGACCGCTTGACCGAATCCGCATGACCGAATCCGCATGACCGAATCCGCATGACCGAATCCGCATGACCGAATCCGCATGACCGAATCCGCATGACCGAATCCGCTTGACCGAAGCCGTTTGACCGAAGCCGTTTGACCGAATTAGGCTCCTCCCAGGTTTGCTGGGGGATTCCCGCTAGACCCAAGAACCGTCTGCTGCTGTGCTGTACACATTCATTCGGAGCGAGGTATTATGAAAAACCAGGACTTGTCGCTGTTAGCGACGACCTCATCACAAGTTTATTAGTTGACAATGCTTATATTATTAGGAGGAGGTACTGAACTCAAGAGGTATGACTATGACATGAACCTATCGAACCTGATACGTATCATGGATCACGACAAGCGAGCACATCGGGATTTGAGATTGAAACCCACTTTCTGGACGTACTCGATCAGCGTAATTTGATTCGAGATCCAACCTAGCACCTCAATTCACTTCTGTGAAAAATGCGACGAAAAAACGATCCTCCTGAGTTGAGTACGCGAGGGCGAGGAATTCGGCAGGCGAAGTTCCCGAATCTTCAGTGGAGTGCGCCAGGACGGAGGATAATACCTTCTTCACTGAAGTCACCGCAGCGCTCGATCGCCACGTCGACGGAAAACACGCGAAGAGCTCGGAGCGAGGAGTAGTTCAGCTCGAGATCGACACAAGAGAACACACGCGAAATACCATAAAAATATGTCGATGGTTGTAATGAGTTCGCGACGAAAGAAAGCTTAACCTGACATACAAAAATGACATGCTGTGGGGGCATGCGTCTTCTGTACGATTGTGGAAAAAAATTACACAAAAAACGCTCAACTCGCCAGATAGAGGTCCTGGACAACATTTACTTCTGGGTTGCCTTCTCGGAAAGGTGCTTGGTCCAGCCCTGAAAGAACATCTTCCAACGACAAGCTCGCCTTAGAAAAAGCCCCACACGCATCTACACTGCCATCGACTTCGTGGGGTTTTAAGGTCGCGGTGCTTGAGGGTGTGTGACTATTTTTCCTAATCAAGAAGTCTGGAGAGAGGAACTTCGAATGAGGGGTACGGAAGTTCCGGTAGAGAGTTTCTGTTCAGAAATCATTATGGCAAGCATCCCAAACTTCCTCCTCACTGCCAGATTCCTGAAGTTCCATGGAAAATCGAAATCAGTCCCCATCCTGGATCTGGCGACAGTATAGACGATGAGACGGTTGCGGTGAGTCGATCGCCACGGGCAGTCTCTGATCAGGCCAAAGTTAGGTCGCTGTCGGAGTGTACACATGATACGTCCTCATTCTTGGAGAGGCCGGGAATGAGTCGGATGTCGAAAATCTCCCTTAAACAATAAAGCAGCTACGTCAGTACGTATTATTGCCAACGTTCTCACTTCCCTCCTCCGGCTAGCTGGCACATATCCCAAGCCCAAGCCAATCCGACGAATTCTCACTAAAGCGATAAAGATTCCGACTGGCAAGGATTGAGGCTGTTGCTGAGTGCTACCTGGGGACGATTTCCTGAGATTCCCTAATGAATTCGCGCTGCTGATGAGTCCCTTGCGCATCTTTAGTTACTTTATGACGGGCAAGTTTTGGCAAGTCCATTCCGGCCCGTCACGAGGGTGCCACTCCGAGATTTCGAGGGAAAATGTGACAAGCGAGATTTTGTCACACAGGAGTGTTACTTTTTACGCGTGACACTTGTTACTAAATTGACTTTGACCCCAGCTGGGGAGCGAAAGGTTGAGGGGAATTCGTGGAAACTTGGGGGGATGAGGCATGTCGCATTGTGGAGTGCCCACCGAAATTTCGAGCAACTTCGGGCAAGTCCATCCCGGCGTTAGGGCCCGTCACAAGGGTGTCACTACGAGATTTCGAGAGAAAATGTGAGAAGCGAGATTTTGTAGCGTTTTTTTTCCTCCAGAACGGCTGGGTGCGCCCTCGATCAGATTACATATTCGGATTCCTCATGGAAAATGCTTCGACTTGAAGGGAAACAGCACTCGATTCGATCAAGATCTCGTGAAGTTATGATGGATTCTCTAGGTCGAGTTATTTTTCGGGGGTCGGAAGCTCTGAGGGGGCTTGGATCGGGTCTCTCGGGAAAAGACGCGTTTTTTTCTCCCGGAACGGCAGGAAGCGCTCTCGATGTTGACCAAAGAGCTTAAGAAGAGGCACGGGAAAAAATACCAACGAGGTAAAAAAGATAAAGAAGAGAAAAATGACAGGGACGGGAAAATGGCAGAAATTCAGGGAAAGGGACCGGGAACAGGTATCGAGGAATGATTGGAATGTGTGAGACAGGGGGGGATGAGAACGGGAAAAGAGGAGGCAAACGCTTACGATATCATGAGAAACGGGAGCAGAGGAGGGGATTAAAAAGTGGATAGAAAATTGGAGAGATATGGGAAATGAGAAAAGGGTGTAACGGGAGGATGGGGACATCTGGGAGTAGACGAGTAGCGGGGCAAATACGCGAAGGGACGGGGAAAACAAGGGAAAAGTAAGAAATGATAGAAACGGACGAAGTGTGGGGAGTACAGAGTGACTCGGAAAAGAAGCACACGACAGAGGGGAGAGGAGGGGGAGTGGAAAGAAGGGGGACTTAGCAGACAATTGGGGGAATTGAGGAGATCCGGGAGGAGAATAGAAACGAGGAAATGAGAGTGATGGGAGCCAAAGCTGAAAGCAGCGGAGAAACGGGAAAAATCGGGGTAGTGGAGAAAAGGGGAAAGCCGGGGGAAACAAGGGAAACGAGGAGGAGAAAGAAAATGGGGAAATATCTGATCCAGGCGGAGAGAGGGGAGACACGGAGGTGAGAATAATGTGAAAGAAGGAGAGATCGAAGTATAAGACGGGGAACGGGAAGACGAGCGGATCGGGGGGTGGCGGATAGACGGTTGAGCGAGGAAAGTAAGGAGGAGCAGGGGAGGACACAGGGAAGTGGGGGAAGATGTGAAAAAGTCAAGGGTTAGTGAAGGAAGAGAACCAATTCTAAAGAGCAAACGAGAGGGAGCCTGAAGGGCGACCGGGAGACGAATAGAAGAGGGAATGTGTGGAGCAGCAGGAAAAAAACAGAAATCGTGACCGCGAAATTAGGCACGGGTAAAGATCAGAGGTTCTGGAGCAGAGAGAAGAATCTCGGATACTAAGGGACAAGAATCGAGGAACAGGAAATTCTACTGAAGCGAAGAGACGAGCTGGGAATGGCCAGGTCTCGATAACGCCACTGATTTGTAGATTTTGTTCGTCACGATCTTAGAATAATTATTCTAGATACAATGTAAGCCGCAGCGCAGCGTGCCCGGCCGCGCTTCGCCGCGGGGAAAGTAGAGATAACTTACGACACGCATGAGAAAAAACAGGCTTCTGTCTTAGAATTCAGGGATCGGTATGATATTTAATTATGATCATATTTAATTTAATTTATTTCATTTTGGTGATGACGACTCAGTAGCCAACTCTAAATGGCTGAATATCTGTTCAGCCCCACCTCTCGACCACCACTCTAGTAATTGATCCCGATACTTGTCATGTTCCTTGTCTACAGCCACCATTGTTGTATTTGAAGTACTCGTCAGTGTTGGTTTCCCTGCCCATTCCCT